TCTGATTAAATTCTAATTGTATAAGAAATATAGAACAGTTGGAGTAGGCAGTGATTGACTTCGCATAGTCTGTTTCAAATTCCACCCCTTATAAAAGAACAGACATTTATAAATTAATTTATTAGCAGAACACCATAGACTCTAAGAACAAGAAACAATATATTTGGGCCCATTTTAAGAAAGCATAATTACTCTATTTTCGATCAAGTAAGTTAAGAATCGTTCCAGGATCCGCCTTTCCGCAGTTTCGTGCTCGCATTCAATATTTAGTTCCCAATGCACTAAACTGCACCTAATGTATAGTATCTCGCCGACCTATATAGGACCGTTGAAACCAATGACCGGTTCACTTCAATTCATTCCCAAGATTCAATCGCATTGACGTGCTCATACGGGATAACAATGAATCGTTTCTCACTAGAGATTTGTACGTATGATACGGATCTAGACCATCTCTAGTGGATGTAAATCAATGCTGGTCGAAGCGATAGTACACAGAATAGTTCGTCCATATTAGAAAAATTCCAAGACAATTTTGTTCGAAACACCTATTGAATGCACTCGTGAATGCACTCGCGATCAGTAACCACTGCTTGCGATAGCTTCGTGAGAATAGTTTCGCGAGGCACTTTTGCTGACCGTCTACGAAATAATCGACAAGTGGCTCAGCTCGTAGTAGCCTTGTATGAACTACCATATTACTGAAATCACCAGCCTCGTGAAGCTCACGTAATCTGGACGCTTCAGCATCATAGTGAGACAACACGTACACATCACTATTGACTAAAATACTTCCATGGAAACATGTATGGCATCATTCATGTAACCATTGTTGATATCTTCTATAAATATAACTGCACTAATTAGTAAAACTATAGTAAATTATACAAAACATATTCTAAAATCGTACAAAAAAAACAATAAACCTAAACTTTACACAAAACGTTGCTAAAAATTACTCGTTCATCAAATGGTAGATCATCGAACAATGGCTTGATTGCCATAGATATCACAGTAACAGGAACTGTTGATAAACCACTCTGTATTACTCACAATTTACAACCAGAGCCCTCGATAGCAATACAATAAACTGTCTTTCTTGATTCAAATTTTACAAACCATTTGACACTCCCCCTGAACATTACCAGAGAATCTGGAACAGATTAATAACCATCTCCTGAAACGGCGTAGTGAGGATGCTTGTCGAGGCATCATCGCAATCTGTATGCGCGGTTTTAGTCTAAAAGCCGAATAAATTCAATGAAAAAAATTGATATGAGATAGAAGACATTCTTGTGGAGTTTCTAATATACGAAGTAGTCACGATTTTATTAACACTTTGAAAATCCTTTACTATGCCTTTATTAAAAGCAAACTTGAGTATGCATCACTTATATGGTGTTCGAATTATGACATTCATATAAATATTTTAGAAAATATTTAACGAATATTTTCGAGATTGCTACATTTTAAAACTCATGGTGAGGTATCCCCAACATGGTGTTCTTAAATGGTTTTCTATTATTCAAATCTTTCTTTAAAAATTTATAAAATATTCTTGATTGTCCATCTATATTGGCTGAACTATACAATTCCTCGAGAAAACTCACGACAATCAGGAACATTTCTGGAGAAAACTCGAACAAACTTGTTGCAAAATTCTCCTTTACATTTTATGTGTAGAATTCACGATAGGTATTGCAGCGACATTGACATTTTTAATAGTCTAAAATCATATTCTAGACATTAATTTTATTACATAGTTTCTATTAGACTGCCATTTTTTTTGTTTCATTACTGTTTATTTTTTCAACATAGTGTGCTATATTATTTCCCATCCGTACCCTCCTGTTCTGTAATTGGGTGTAGACCTTTAAAACAGTGTATTTTCAAATAAATAAATAATTAGATAAATAAATATCGTCACTTCATTCTCCACTCAACATATTTCACGTATTTTCTGTAGATACGGGTCTATTTTTATACATTCTGATAATTATCCGAAATTTATTTTTCATTTTAACTAGCTGGTAATCACGAATACATTTACCACCATTAATTAAAACAGATATGCATTCTTAAGATATTAACATTGACAGAAAATTACAATTTCCAAAATTTTTATATAATTAATACGTAATTATAATTTTTTTTCCACAAATGTATAGTATTAATCTCATATAAATCTTAAATTTTCTTGCCTAAAAGACATTTTTACATATTTAAAGTCAGGAAAACCTCTCACGAATTCGCCTTAACAATTGTGAATTCTTTCACCAACTTAATATCGTTCGCTAATTGTCAAAATCAATTTGTATGTAGTTTTTAAACATTCAGACAATTCCAGTTTTTTTACTCAAAACATTTTTCCACTGCACGAAACATATTGACAAACACCATATAACAATGTGAAGTGAAACCTTAGGGGTAAATAAATATTGACAGCCTATTTTTCTACTTGCTTTGCTTCTCTTCCTGCCTGAACGAAAAAGGAAATATTTCTCAATGTCTTACGAAAAAGGTAAATAACAAATCAATCTATTGACAGAAGTCACAACAAATTTGAATACAAAATATAACCAAATGGATTTCATAGAATAAAGAGAATTTCCGGTCAAAATCGGTCGAATTTTATAAGAAATTATTCTTAAGAACGATACAATTTTATGTGATTATACAGTCGTCGATTCGAAAGATCATAAATTAGATGAAATTAAAAAGTCATTCAAACGATTTATGATCAGTTACAATACATGACTATTATGCAAACATAAAAAGTGTTTCAAAAGAGTATTAAAATTCAACATAGTTGAAGAAATGTAGAGCAGAAGCTATTAACAATATTTTTTGGCATGGCATACTTGCTGACAGTCTACATATAATGGAAAATATAGAAGTATGACATAATTGTAATTGGAAGAAAACGATTTATATCCAATTGTGTTTTTTGTAACGTTTGTAATGTTTATTTTTTGATCTAATACTTTCGACCATTCAGAGAAATTCCAAGAATTTTTATATTTAATATTTTTTCCATCTCCAAAAATAGCTGCAGCAAAATACAGAAAAATACACTGTACAGTCCATCTCAACATAACATTCTCTGTGATGTTATCTGACTATGGCTATGTTATGAATATACCTTTAAAAGTAGCATTATGAACTATTATTGATTATTGGCATATACTGTTGGTATATTTTGAATATAACGAATTCTATATTCCCACAGATTGCGGGAATCTTAGTAGCATAACTTGATCAAGATGAAATTTTAAGTCTCTTTCCGTTTGCTGTAATGACGGCGAATTATCACCCTGTACATATATTTAGCGAGGAACTAAAATCCAGTTTGGTTAATTGTTTCAAAAGAAAATTTTCTATCACTATAGAACTAATTCACAAAAATTAACTCTTGGATTTATTTATATACTTACAAAATTAAAAGCACCGTACATTTCACTTTTATACAGCACTAATGTTTAACCCTTATAAGGGTTCATCACGGCAAGAAGCCTATTCAACATTATAGAGAAACGGAAAATGAAGGTGACACTGATAATACGGATAAATTGGCACTTAACTTCACGCTGGTGCTTTGGATATTGTGCAATTATCTGCAGGACGTTCAAAATATAATTTCCTCCATTTAAGCCATCAAAACCCAGTGCTTTAAAATTCCACTCACTTGGTCATATCTCCCTTACGATTGATACAAGCGTGCCACATATGGGATGCTTAACTTTCATAAGGAGTCATTGCATTTAATATGCAGGATGTCAAGCGAGCGAAGCGCATAAACTTTAAAACGACATATTCTACGAGTACAATTTTGCAAAAAAATTTATATAAACCTTAATCGGGAGAAGAACTATTTTGCAGATATTATCGGCCTTAAAATTTAATTGTCAATTTTTTTAATATTTCAGGAATTCATAAAATTTTATAGGGTAATATTTACATTTAGGATTTACAACACCGTGCTAATAAATCTGGATGTCAATCAGTAACGTGGATACGAGAAGGCTAGTCCCTTTTGGGAAACGTAACTTCTACGCCAATTATCCTTTTAAAAATACTTACGCATGCTTCATTAAAGCGACATATTTACGAACAAAAATTACTCTTGTCAAATTTTCATGTTTTCTTTCATTTTGGGACAAATGCAAAATTATGATTGAACACTATTTTTGACTAAAATTTTACAATTTATCAAAACTATCAATCAAAAACCAAATCTGGATCAGGCTGACATACAGAAATAATAACAAAGGAACATAAGTTAAACATAAAAAGAGTCTAACATTGTTATTATCATGAATAAATTAAAAAATATAGTAAATTATGGCTCTGATTTACTGAAAAAGATTGTACAATGTTATAAGTAGTTTATTAAAACAAATTTTACATCAATTGAGTCATCAACCAGTGTATATGGTTTTTTTTTACTGAGCACACCCGTGTTGGTTTAAGAAAAATATCTTATATTGGCGAGGAATGAGTTGCAGTATATTATACTTATCCTAACTATGACATACCTACCTAAGTATTAAACGAACATTATTTCGTTGATTTTAAAAATATGTTGCCAAATATTATAAATTTTTATTATTGGGCATTAAGTTAAAACTGAAACCAGTAATATATTTTTTACTGTTGCTTTTTTACTATATTTAAAGAAATAGGGATATCTATATTTTCTTTTGCTTTATGAATTAAAAACGTATCCTTCCATTGTCTGACTGGGAACTTAGTACCTATTTTTATTTCACTAAAAGTTATGTTTGCAACAATAATTTTAATAATGTAATGCCAGTTGAAAGTACTCACCTCATGGTAAATACACCTTCCTTTCAACTGAAATATGCTTAATAATTAAGCTTACTACACTATTCTAATATTGAAAATTTCAAATATTGTTGTTTTAGTGTCTCTTTTCGTTTTTATCTTCTGTTTTAACTTAATATATTTCTACGTTATGTGGAATACTACTGAGCACTCACCTATCATAATAACAGAAGCACCAAAAACAAGCAAAATAATAGTCCTCGCCTCATTCATATCAGAACCATTTGCTCACATCAAATATTAAAAAAGTCGCGAACCGAATCCTTACTACCCAGGCGGTGAAATGAAACAAATGGCAAGACATCCACTCGACATGCTTTAATTTGGTACCACTTTACTATTCGACCGAAAAATAAAATTAGGATTTGGAAGCATCATCGCGATTTTTGCCAAACCACACTGCAGACACGTATAATACACATTTGTATAAAACTCACTGGGCTATTTTTAGTCTAACTGAGAGGTATGTGGAAATATTGCAAATATAGTAATCGAATTTAAGGGATCCCCTCACTAGATCCCGGTACTGGTTGGTTTTGGTAGGATGGGTTTTTATGAGATGTTTAATTGGTTTATTTTGATTGTATCGTGCACCGTTGTCCAATTATTTTTTCCCGGAGGCGAAAAGTGGCATGCTGTTATTTCGACGTGACTGACGTTACTGGAAATCTGGGGCGCCACGACGCAGGCGTCTGCCATCGAACGGTACGGCGAATTTTAAACGGCCAACAAGTATGAAAGCCGTCGGCGTCGTCATATCGAGGCAAGGACGCTGTAATGAATTTAGTTAGCCTCTTACTCAGATGGGTCCACATCCTGCACGTTTGTCGACTCTTATTGAAGTCTGATCTCAAAATATTGCAAATCACTCTCCATGCCGTTTAAAATGTTATTGACACAATGGAAAGGAAGTTGATTGCAAAAATGAAATTTATTTTTCTTTTAAGTTTAAAAATAAACAAATTAAACAATAAATAAAGGTGGCATGTTTATTGCATAAATCAAATCGAGTCAGCACCGCGTTGTCCAATGAACAGAACAGACATTTGCTTGGACAGTAAGGCGCTCCAACTAACTTTGAAAATCAGTAGTAACTGAAAAATTTCCACAATGAACAGTAAAATGAAAATAGTTTGAATTTTATATCTACATGTGGAACACTGTATTATAATTCGTCCAGGGCCTCACGAAGGTATAACGCACCATTTCCACAACACTTACCATATCCAATTTCATTTAATTCAAACAATATGTTTCATATTTGCCGTCTTTTGTCAAATTTTGCAAATATTAAAGCCACTATAAAGATATGCTCTATTCTATTCTCTCTCTATTCCGTTCCCAGAATCTATTTTTATAATTTGTAGAGCAATGTACCTACTCTATTAAAAGGTCGTTTTTTTCATTGCACATCAACGAATACTTAAACCAGCTCACTGGAGAAGCTGCTTCAGTAAGTTTATGCGGTTTGGTTGCAGCATGTCGTGCCTCGGGCCCTGCCCAGTTTACTTAGGAACAAAGTTCATTTCCAACGTTCTAAATGTTTTTTCAGTTGTACCTACTATATATATAGTTTATGAATATTAATCTGTACACGAAATGTTACCTGGGATCATATTTAAGAGAGAATAATTATTATCGATAACTACAATTAATAGTTTTATTGGAATTATTGAAATATAGAGAAAAATGGCCATTTTAAATATTAGATAGTGATTTTCAAATGCAATCGGTCACCTATGATCACTAACTTTTATCATTTTTAGTGGTAAATGATTGCCATTAGGTACTACTTACTACTTTCATATTTTTTATTATTTCACTCAAATACACTAGATGCCATAACCCCATTTTCTTCCAGACTATCTAATCGTGATCAATACCGAACAACACATTGGAAACAAAAAAAACATTCCACAAATCCAATTCTTTCGTAAAATATGTGTTCATTAAATTATCTGGTGAATGTTTTACAACTTTGTCCAGCAACTCAATTTCTATTTCATTTTACCCAATTCTATTTCGTTTCCCAATTCCATAATTCCATTTCATTTTAGAATAGAAAAATAGATATTTATTTTATCTTTTATTCTAATTCATTTTACCCAATTCTATGTCATTTGCCAATTCTATTTCATTTCCCAATTCCATTTCATTTTCTATTCTTTTCATTTTATCTTCAATTCTATTTCATTTTACCTTCTATTCTATTTCATTTTACCTTCTATTCTATTTAATTTTACCCAATTCTATTTCATTTTCCAATTCTATTTCATTTTACCTTTTATTCTATTTCATTTTACCTTTTATGCTATTTCATTTTACCCAATTTCTATTTCATATTAGTTGGAAACAAGAGAAGTAATGAAACGCAGCTAGCCTACCTTCTCAAGCACCACAAAAATGTGACTATTTGGCGAACTATGAATCCGACTTATCTTCGCGTCTAGAAATGACGATTTGAGCTGTCAGACTGGCAGCTCAACTCCTGGCATGCCATCTCGATGATTTCCACATGATTATTGATGTTTTAGTATAGTTATACCACGGCAAATAAAACAACCAGCAATAACACATCCTCTTTTTTCACATCTGCGCATGTTTTCGCGCATAACATTTCTTGGTAGGAAATCCGTCAAAATGCTGTCAGTAGCGTCGTAGCGTGTATAACCTAGTTTAGTTTATTTCACTTTTCTGTTGCAGTAAAGTCATAGGCGTGCATTTGTTGAATTGTGTAGTTGTTTATAATTTGGTGTAGTACTGACATAGTGTGAGACTAACGTTATTTGTTATTTAAGTATAACAATGTATAAGACAATGAGTCATGGTGTTTGTGCAGTGAGAAGTTGTAGAAATCAGAGATATTCTTCAAAGAAAAATTTCATTAGATTTCCTGCTGATACAACAAGGTATGTGTAGTGCTAAAATGTGAAAAGATTATAGTTTTTACACCAATTATTAAATTGACATTATAACCTACATATAACATCCTTATCTAAAATGGTTGGTTTATAAAAAAGTATTAGTCCTAACTTAGCCGTAACTTAACCTTAATCTTAGTCCTAAAAAGTTAAATGTACAAAATATAATATATAGAGGTAGGGCAAGGTTAAAAGATTTTTATAAACCAATTCTGTACATTTAACTTTTTAGGACTGAGATTAGGATTAAGTTACGGATTTATATTTATTTTAAAGCGTACAAAAACGCTGATGGTGATATCTTCGGAAATTTGCACAATCCACATGACATGTTTGTAGATTTTATTTCAAATTTGGAAATAATTTTCCAAAAAAATTTTGAAAAAATTATTTTAGAATCTGACATATGTACAAACTTTTTGACCATTTGTAATAATTATGACCATCCTTGTGTAGATTTTCCAAAAACATATGTAATATTGTTATATATTAGGCTAAGATTGTATTATACTCTTAAGGATATAAACAAAAATTTTCAAAATATAAATAAAAACAAATTAATGGCGTCATTTGTGATCATTAAGTATTCATAAATGTACATACTTAATTTATTTAAGTTATGATTTAGTCTTAAGTTCTTTTAAAATGGAATAAAATTTAAGACTTATTAAAATAAATGTTTTTTTTTTAATTTCCCTTTACAAAATAGTAGTTCCAATATATTTATTTATTTATTATTAAAAATCATCAAATAACTTTTCAGCCACACATTACACACATTATCTTTAAATTTCTTGCAATATTTTAAGTGCAATATTTTTTTGTACTTACCTATACTACTATAATTATATATATTGTACGAAAGACACTAGTTGATTTAGTCAAAATATATAAAGTAACAAGTAAATATACGGGTATAATGAGTATATACATTTAACAATCCATTAATATTATAAATTTTATATTACAACTCTGTTGAAGGAAATTCATAACTTATAAATATTTCAAATACAGCCCTGACTTTTCCTACCCAACTGACATTAGCAAGGTCAAATTTAATTTTGCGCGGGGAAGATGTAGTGATATTGCTAGTTGTTTTATTTGCCGTGGTTATACCACATATTACTACCTATACTATACTGGTTATAGAACTAAATTTTGATAAAAATATGAATTTAGTTCTCTATTTCTTTTACTTCAATTTTGTGATTCTGCAGTACTTATGGATTATTGTTTTTGCTACTATCAAAGCTTGAACTGTTTCTAATAAGGCATGGTATTTTGTTGTACAAAACTGTCAAAATGTAATTAATTTGTGCAAATTTAAAAAAAAAACAAGAAATTACCCTATTGTGATTCTACTGGATGGTGGCTTGTTGTCAGAATACTGTCATTTTGATTTTCCATTGATTAAAAAAATTGGAAAGTCATCACAAAGACAAAAATTGATCAAAGAACAGAAACAAAACAGTGTTGAAAAAAATTTTAATAAATGTATTTTATTTAAAAAATGTAGAGATGACTGTATAATAAATGAACAAACATGGTTTTATAACAAAAAAATAATGAATAGAACATTTACACCAAATTGTCAGTTACACCAAGGATAATCATCAGATTTATAAGGAACCAGCGGTAAATCATACATAAATGGAAACAACTTCTTATTTTTACTTGACAGTGTCCTTTTAATCTCCAGATATTCTTCATCAAAAAATTTTGGCAAATAGAGAACTCCTACTTCGTATGACCTCACATACACCCCTGAGTCCTTCCCAACAGGCCCACCCCAAGCAGATTTTGATAAATTTGCACTAGTGACCAAGAAATAGGCTAGTTTAGTCAAGCAAGGTGAAACTCGACAGTATGTTTTAATATGTGGCATTGCCCTTGTTCTTCCATAGGCTTCAGCCTTCCACTGACTAAAAATAAGAAAAATATAACATGTTGCAAAAGATATTTAGCAATTAAAATAACAAACTTGAAGGGGAATCATTTTATATTTTTTATTACATTCTTTGTATCTCCAAATTTAAAAAAAAAACAGTAAACTTAAAATTTTTACCACAGATATTTATCAATTGCCTGTGTTGTGGCAAATACCTGTATGCTCTTTTAAAAAAATTATCTGTTATAATATGCCAGTCTGCAGTTTAGTAACTGAACAAAACATTCTCCTAATGTAATATTCATCTGAGGAAATAGATAAGAGGGGAAACACAATTGCGAGATGCTGCAGTTTGTTAAGATCAAGCCAAGACAGAGATATGTTGTCATTAAGAGCTTTTTCCTACACAATAATCTCAACCACACCCTACAAACACAACTGCTAAAAACATTTAAATGATCTAGTGATATCCATCTATTCCTTCAGATGAAGAAAAGTTAGTAGTCCAACGAAATTACACTTGGAGAAAAAAAATCTCTCCGCCACCCCTACTCACGCATTTATTTATTTTTTGTTTATTATAAGCCCCTTTACCATTTCCATTTATAAAAGTCCAGGTAACAATTTTCTTTTTTTGCCCTCTAAATGAGTTATTTCGATCAGTCTATAGGAAGACGATATTTCAGTTCGTGGCTTACTATATTCATAGTCCCCTCAATAAACAAAAACTAGCAAAAATTGAACAGGTGTTCTGTAAGAATAAAGTGCAGCCATTCCAAAAATCAACATCCTTCAATTAGCATTTAAATTTTTTATCATTTCTATAAAATTTATCTTCAAGTTTGGGAGATATCCAGAACAAGTCTAAAATAACTTAAGATTGATGTAGTATGTCATATGAAAAGTGAATGAATAAAAACAGTAAATGAAATAACTTCACGTCAATCACAACTTAAGCTTATAAGACTCATTTTTCACTTACTGCATATACTCCTGCAACCACCTCTGCTTTTCATTTGTAGCCTTTGAATATGGTAAACATCCACCGCTCTCATGTCCGTAATAACCTGTCATAACATTGTCCACACTGGGGTACACTATGCTCAGAGTGGCATTAGAATTCATGGGTAATGGGCCCTTAGTGTGGCTTGCCAAACTTCGAAGCAATGTGCCCCTGAGCCACTCAGCAGGGCTTTTACCCATTGATCCTATACTGGAAGCTTGTGCAATGATGCCCCAAGACAAGGGTCCTTCACTTTCGGGTGTTGTTTTTGAAGGTAGTGTGCAATGTTGCTTTAATAAGGCTCCAACGCGGTGAAGATGGGAACCTACGTTATTAGGATAATGTCGACCAGGTACTGAATACACCAAAAATACTCTGAAATGTAACAAAAATCTTCGAAGATATTTTTATTGAAGGAAAGGTAATTGTACATTTAAAGCAAAAAATAATCAAGAAGGAAAAAATTGCATAAGTTCTATTTGTAATCCAGAATATATTACCTATATGAGTGGATAAGAAAACACAAAATTTAAAATTTTTGTGCTTACAAAATCTTTTTCGAGAAGTTAGAAACCTGTAGCAAAAAAGAAAATGTCCAAATATCATCAGTTTGGCTGTTGCTAAAACAGTTTTTATTTGATTTTGTAAGATAGGAGACAAAAATATTCCAATATATGGACCTTTTGTCAAAGTAAAGACATTGGAAGCAGGTCAAAGTTTACAACTAACTGACTTCAAAGCTTCCTACGGCTTAAAATTTTGTCACAGGCATAAAAAAACTGTATCTGGTGAATCTGCTTATGTAAACTTTCAAAATATTAGTTACATAGTGACTGGAAAGCTAAGTTGCAGTCGATATTGAAGGACTACGCTCCAAAAGATATTTTTAATGGATGATGAGATTTTTTTAAAAGTTTGTTAGTATTTATATATCATGATTTTATAATATAGTCTGCTATGAACAGAAGTTACCTGACTGCGGAAAAATCGGCCCTTTTAACATGATCTATAAAAGATTGAAGACAAGGGAGGTTATAAGTTCCTAGATAGCTTAAAAGATTTGCTTTGAAGCCAGTTGGGGACTCTCCTTCACTAGCAGCACTAGATTCGGGTAATCTTGGACAAGCTGGACTCAACCACAATCTACAATAAAAAAATATTGTAGCAAATTTATGGTGTCATGATGTAACTTACCCCTGATTATAATGATTCCAATCTTCATAATACAGATTTGCTGATGACACAACAACTCGCACAGAATTATCTTCATAGACGTAAATGCCAATTTTACTGAAAGTAAAACATGATTTCAAGAAACACAAGTAAAACATGGTTATATGTCTACTTACGAATGATGACATCCAAACGGATCTTTCATTTTTATGAATTTATATGTGACATTAGGGCAAAACATATCTATAAATTTAGCCATATCTGGCCAATCATCACCATATACAATTGTTAGGGGCTTTGTACTAAAATTAAAATTTGAATAAGCACATTTGGAAAGAATTATTACAAAAGTACCTCAAATTCCTCGCTTTATATTGTTTCAAGAGCCAGTCGATGTCTATCATAAAGTTTATTTGTAAGGAACACTTCAAATCACCCAAACTTGGACAGAGCAAATCTGAAAAAATATGTAAACATTTTCTTTTGAATATGTATACCTAATTATCAAGATTAAACGTTATTTTTTTCATAGACATAATATTCACCTGTAAATGTTATGGCATTAGGTTGTTTTAAAGTTTCTGGAGCTTTATTCACTGTAGTAAAAAATAAATTATATGGTGCAGCTTTCTCCAGTTTTTCCAACATTGTACCTGGTTTAGCCAACTGTACGCCAGTATTTAGTTCTCCATTGTAAATAGTAGTTTTCCCCTTATTAGATACTTTTTTACTTGACGATGGACCAGCATCACCTGATAAATCTGGCATCGATTTTTGTTTACTAGAATCCTTCGATACATTTTTTTTTGCAATTATAGGTTTCAATATTTCAATTTGTTCCAGATACACATTTTTTGGTTGTGGTGAATTATCTGGTATAACTAGAGAATCTCCCATTTCTATAAACTTAATCACTAAAACGCACAATTAAGTAAAAGGTAAATTTGGTGAAAATTCTTACAATGAGGATGCTCGTACTCTTTAAAATGATGTGGATTTTTTCTGTAGCAACGTTCAGAGTGGGGGCAATTTTCCCTTTTCATCTTTTTCTTAGGTTCGCCTAAGAATCAGTCGGAAAGTATAAAAGATGTTAATGAAATAACTAATTGCACTAACTGACTAAAAATTGTACAAGAACTTGTCACTTACCCAGAGTGTTATCACTTCTTCGTTTCAGAAATGATTCCATAATAAATTTAATAACTTCAGTTTTTCATTAAAAAAGTGATATATGAAATAATAAAATGTTTCAATCTTCACGTCAGTAAAAGCAGAACATTACATATTACATCAAATAAACGTCAAAAGTTTGAGGTTAAGCGACCTATGACAACTGTCATTCAAACAAGAGTCATTTTTTCACGATAGGATCAATAACCAATTGAAACCAGATATATCGTCACGTCACTATGACAATAGCATTATCATATAGCTCTTAAATAAAAAATGATGGTATAAAATTATTATTCGAAGGATATAAAATTAATTTGCGCACATATGTAATTTTCTGTTATAATTTTAGTTTGTTGATCGTTTGTATTAACAACAACTATGTTCGGATTTAAGAAAAAGTGGAGCTTGACTTGGAAAATTATTTATTGACAGACATTCACAGTTCGCCATTTCTAAGTGTCACTACGAGATTACTGCTATATAATAAGCAAAAATATTTCTAATTATAACAGTATTTACGATAACACTCTATTGCGATCACAGTACAGTAGGTATATCACATCATATAGAGTGCTATGTGAAACTGCCTTTTATCTTTTATAATACATGCTTCGGGAAAACAAGATAAAAGTTGTTAATTCCATCCAAATGATTGAAAAGGAAATAAATAAAATCATATTCAAATGCTAATGCTTCTTTTACTTTCGATATATTACCAAATGATATGTGCTTTTGTTAATTAAAAATTACCAGTACGTTCCAAATAAATTCTGCACAAATTATCTAATATTACTATTTCTCTAGAAACGTAACGCCAAACCTTGTAGAAAAATATTTTTATTTTATTTCCACAGATTCGTATAATTAATAAAAATACACCTCAATTTTCTTAGGGTTTAGCGTAGGTTTGTTATTACCTAAAAGGATAAAATATTACTTTTGTTCTTGTTTTTGTTTGTATAAGTAATCGTAAGTAATTTCCGTGAAGAAAAGCAAGTAATTTTGTTGTAACATAAATATATTAAAAATAATATTACTTTAACAAATTTGAATTTATTAAATATTTGGGATATCTAATAAGTAAGTACTAAATCTATTTTCTTCAAACAGTAAAGAAATAGACCTCATATCATAAATACTCTTAGTAAATACTGTTTTTAATATTGGCTAACTATACTTTTCTCAACAAAGCACTGGAAATTTCATTGCTCTCTATCCATTTGGCAAGTTCAGCAGAGATCTCTGGTTTTTGAGATTTCGCTGACTCCACATCGCAGTTGGAAGAACTGACAATGAGATCCGTTATTATTTGGTCAGCATTACAGTTGGTCAGTCTAGTTTTGCACAAAACAATAGCATTTATAAAGTTCTCTGATGGAGTGATGAAGCGGTGCTCCATATAAATGTTCTGGTCGTCCCAGTAGACTATCTGAAAACAATAGAGAAAATCTGATTTTATTTAAAAATACACACATATCTAATTAGTAATTCAAAATTTGCAAATTTAATTATTTTACTAATCATAAATGATTACGTTACATTACACCAAGCATTAAGTAGAAATAATTTGAATCTTGTTTTTAAGGAGTGTTTAAAGATTGCAAGTTACATTTTATTCATATTAGCAAAGAAATAAGAAACAATCTTCAATCTTCCAAAGAAGAATTTGCTGCACTTTACAGGAAGACTGGGCAAAATGGGAAGTGTGGGATATAATTTGAAATTGAAATAAAATAAAAATGATTTGATTGAACCAAATTCTTTATTTTATTTTGAGACACGGTCGTCCACATCATGTTTTGAATAACATATCAGGTAAGAGCTCGGTTAGTGTACAGAAGTTAATTCGATGAACCCAATTTTCAATGACCTTGTGCAATAAATCAGGCGGAACTTCATGAATGAAGTGACGTTCGGCATTAATGCACCAAGAGACTATTTGGTCGCATTGATAAATAACCCCACAAAGCGTAATTTAAAAGAATTAAATTACAATTTCTTATAGGCCAACTAACACTCGCATTTCTTGAAATTACACCAGACACATAGTACTTCGACCCACTGAATTCGAATCTAAAAGAAGAATTTCCGGAGCAGTTTGTGTTTTGACCCTAATATCAAAACGCTCCTCGCGAAACCTGTTTACGAGATTTCAAACAGACTTGAGTAGTCAGTAATTGGAAAAATATTCGAATTCATAATCTCATTGCACCGTATCCCTATAACATCGTAGCTTCTTAACCCAGAGAGTGTACAACCACAAAACTCCCTGCAAGCTCTTGTAGACTCTTGATCTAAGGCATGCATATTACAAAGTCACCCGAGTTTTTAGACCCGCTGTCGACCAATGTTCTGATTATACTCCTTTTTTGTGCCGGATGATGGTTCGAGTTCGCTTGTGGGTATCTATCAGCATCAGGGTTTCCTGATAACATTATACGCAGCTGCTGCTGACTTCTAGGTACCAAGACATCCAGGAAGGCTAATCGTCCCCCTTTTTTCTCCTTCGTTTAGGAAACGGCCAAAATTGTCCTTACAATGGATATATCAAAACATATCGGCACAAGTGTGACGGTTTAAGTTCAGCTATTTCTAATATGTACTATTCTTTCAAATACTAGCCAATAGAGCTAGGGCTATATCGCATCTGGAGCATTTAGACTCTGAACTCACCGGAGTTTTACAGGCAAATGGTTACAAAGAACCATGATATTGCCAAGGTATTGCAGAGAAGGGTACAAGGTTCATCCCTACACGAAAAGTCCAACAGGAGTTAAATCCACTAATAGACCGGTTTGACAAAGAGATCGAAGATAAAAAGGAAGGAACATGAAAGGACCATACGGCTCAACCATCTTGCGAAACCATCTACCGTCCAGCATACATTATATGAAGACATTGAGTTACTTGTATGAACCACTGAAACCTGGTGAGACGGGAAGCATTACAAATCGTAGAATCATAGTAGAACCATTTGTACAGAATAAGTAACAGCACGAGAACAGAATATGCCTGAAGGTATACGCAACGGCACCGACGATACCTCAGACGAAAGTGAGACCACACCTACCGTCCTATTGCGCAGACATGGAGGACTACTATTGTCCGAGAAGCAGTTCCGTCAATAGCGGTCTTAAAACTAACAACAGGAACTGAAATCAACAGTGGGACCACTTAACAGTAGTAGTAACTACTGTAGAAAAATACAATCTGTTCTACTAGTACGCATATCAATCAATTTACCCGTATGACCAGCACGATTTACCCGCATTATGAACATTTAGAAATAGTCTTATCAGCACATATTTTCTCATGTATTTGACGTACAGAACCTAATTTTGCTTACAAGGAAACAACGATAATCGTTTCAATTTGCTATTATTTTTTTTTAGAAACTACTGGTACAATAAATTTATGTATAAATTATTAACTGACCTTTGTTGTTATGTGGTATCTGTTAAATAGCTTTATGAATCTTCTGTATCTAATTGTGGTTGCCCCTAAAACGATCGAACCGCCGCAGCTCTTGATTTTCTGATACAGGCCAGTCCTCTCATTGAAATCAATTTTGGCGAAGTCCAGTTCTCTTATGTACCGAGCATTGTTCATGTGATTCAGTAGATTGTCTATATCGGTGGTCAGACATATTCCTAAAATAAAACTACACTTAATTTTCTGAAAATTAAAAAGTAGTGTGAAAAAAGTAGTAGTAAAATAGTTGCAAAAAATGAATAATAGGAAGTTCATATTTAAATTTCGAATTATTCATTTCATCTTTATGCAGATGACTACAACTAGTTAAACTTCACTTCTATTTCTGATATTTTTTACCAACAAACATGGAAATCATTCATTTTATTATTCCATGATTATGGCTTCATATGTAATAGTTGATAACTTTGTTAGTTATCTTTATTATTTTATCTTCGTTACAGTATAGTTGATATCTTAATAATTTGTGTTTAATGAGATTCAAATAATATTTTCTGAAAATAAATTTGCTATTTCCTGAAATATAAAAGAAGTTTCCTGTAATTAAACTAAACAATTCTGAAAAGTAATTAACCCTTTCTGGAACTGAATTAAAAAATCTGAAATACGAATACTAAGATAAAACTGAAATAACACATTCTGAAATTACATTAACGGAAACATTTGGAAAAAGTAACGTTGCATAATTATTTCTCATTGCTGCAGTAGTTTAATTTTCCTAAAATAAATAGGATTAGTTCGAAATTAATTTATGTAGCCGTGAGATAAGTTTACTAATAAAATATAGGATGTATCAGTTCTAATCAGCCAAATTGAAACAGATGATTGATTACTTCATGTTGGATAAATTTGCTAATATTTTATGACATGTGATAATCAAAGTAAACGCAAATCAAAATATTGGTTCCATACAACCGATGACTTCTGGGAAGAAGTCACAGTCCCGTCACAAATTTATTTCCAATTCTCAAATTAAAGAATTTTACCCATGTTTCGAGGTCAGGGCAAGAAATATCCCTTAGAGTCTGAAAAAGCTCCAAAAGCATTGAGACGGTTTATACATGTCTAAAGACATCCAACTTATCACCCAAGCTTCCCAGACAGCATGGGTCGAGATATTTCCGCGGACCTTTCAAAATCCGCCGCCTGAGCTATTTGTTTGTCCTTTCATTATTTTTGTTTTGGTTTTTAAATTTTATTTTTGGAAGCTATTGACTACGTGTACATTGACTACAGGACTGTAGTGAAGCCTGGGCGATTTTAACTCTAGATATAGGATGAAGACCTCTGAGTCTGAGTTCGCAACAATCTATCAATTTGTATTAAATACAGCAAGTTTATTGGATATTACTGCCGTATAGCAATGGTTTCATTACCAAACCAAAGGCCGTACAAAACGTATTGGCCATCAAGCACTTGGTCCTGGTAAATGACCAAGGTTGACGTTCAATCGCACTCCTTGATGGCGCCGCTAGATTATCATTGTGGATTTTTAAAATTCAGAGGTGGCTCAGTTTTTAGTTTCAGCTACCTCGTTAAAGATATGTTTGGTGGTCGCTGAGCGGTTTCCATGAATTCCGGGCTGTCTTCATAGAAAATTTGAAACATCAGCGATTTTCTTCGCGATCTGATCTGCGGGGGTCATCAGCGGTTGCTTTGCCAACAACAGCGGGCTCTGTGGACGTTGCGTCAGGATCAGTGGTTTGTAGCTGGAGAAGTCAAGTACGAAATAAAAGGTGCTCAAAAATAAAACAGTTCAAAAAGGCTCAGTCGACAGCCTCAACGAAAATGCCATCGAGGGAGTGCCACGTAACTTATAGGCAACCACAGCAGAGCGATTTTACCCTGATCGGTTTTGTCCCAAAGACTGAGATTTAAAAGATAACAAGCGGTTACCAATGAGACAAATTAAGTTAAATTCTCCAAAATAACCGATCGCTTGTACAAGACAACGTGACGTATCGTATACCAAAATGTAATACTATCGTCTACTGGAAGGTATTTAGTCAAATTCTATTATTTAGTACAGTGATTAATAAATAATGAAAACTAAAATCCAAGTTAAATTAATTTGAAAATTATTGAGATCCTCGGATTTACCCTGGCAGTCTATTTTTCCATACTTTCTGTACATGTGTTACCTACACATGTACTTGATATTTTCCAGTACCTACCATTACAAAGATGAATTAAATTTTATTTTAAGAAATGCATTCTAAGCCACTTTCTTTTTCCCTATATACCTATTTGAAGTATCAATGCGAACTTTTTTAGTTCATATGTGATTTGGGGACTTATACGTGATATTCTAAAAATTGTTTTATCAATTTTAGATAAAATTTTATGTACAAATTTCTTTAATTTGCTCTCTTTATTCAAATGTTATTAGCGTTATAAGTTACTGTTCATTTTATAGTCATTTAATCAGTGTGGCCTATGGGGAGGTTTTTTTATCCCATAAGAGGGTGAAAGGGATAAGATGAGAAAGGTGGTTTATGGTATTATTTGTAGTATGATTTAAATTACTCAACAAAAAATATATTATATTTTACAAACTGGTAACTGATTCATAAATAATTCTTTGTGTAATTATAAATTAGTTTTTCACCTCCAGACAGGGGTAGTTTTAACTGTGTTCCTGTCGTTTTCGGGAAATATAAATAGCATATTCGTATTCAGTACCCCAAAGTTAGAATAAAAATACTGGTTTCATACTTTTCTTTTGATAGCCCAAAATTTCGACTTTTTTAACATGGCTCTTTGAAACCTTTAAATGTTTGAATCGGAAAACATGAAATAAAAAAGAAGAATTTGAGAAATCGAAAATTTGCGAATATACGTGATAGAACAGTAAATTCAATTCAATGAAATAACACAGTAAAAATAAAATAGGACCGAGTTTATTTTGTGCAAAATGGAGATAAATATATTTCTAAATATAGATAGACAGATAAAACAAAAAAAGAGTAAAAAACTGCCACATTTAACGATCAGTAAGGAATTATTTACTTTTCTCAGTGTAATATATTTCTGGTTGGGCATAATTAAATTTATAAAATCAATTCTATGATTAATACTTTTGGCTCAAGGACTTATTTATTTAGAACATTTTTTTTCTTTTCGATATGGCAGAATAAATTAAATAAAAACAATCATAAATGCTACAGATAAAATAATCATGGAAAAATACATATTACTCCCGCCAAAACTAAGTACGTACCCTCCGTATGGTGTATTAATTTTAACTAAAATTTAAAATAGTGTGGTAAGATTTTAACAAAACTGTATTTGACTAATGAATACAAATATCACCTTTTTGTCCTTTAAACTTTGAATTATCCTGTATCTATTAAATTTATTGTAGAAAATAAAGATAGATTAGGATAAATTTATGAATGTATTATTTTACGGCGTGGTGATGACCATATTTATTATGAAAATTCAACTGTCAAAGTGACAGATATATAATTCGAATGAGTGAAACAAAAATGAATATCAAAACATACCTCCGACTTTCGTTTCGTCCAGGATATACACCCTTTTCTTGGTTATTCTTGCCCATATCACACATACCATCGTACGCAGAAAATAATGCAACTCCAGCACACAATATAAGACCAAAATAAAACCGACACACCCGAAAAAAAGATAACACAGATCCATGGCTAATAACACCACGTTCTGCTAATTTCACATTTTAGACTAATCTTTCCGCAAACGGTAGGAAAACCTGATATGCAAGCATATTTTTGCCTACACCGAACAAACTCATTTGTCAGTGAGTTACTCATTAGGGAAAAATATATTAGCTGACACGAGTAAACTCAAAACATTTTGTATTGCGGCTTTCGTCAAGTCGCTCGATATATTTGACGGGCGCATGTGCGAATGCAGTGAAGACTTTAATGCACATATTCTGCGAGGAAGGAAATTTCAGCAAGATGAACATTAAAGGTGACATGAAACTAGGCCCCAAAAATAAGGATGCAATTATTCGGCTGCAGTGTCGTTTTACATGTTTTCTCCTGGTGCTATGGACACGCGTCAGAGGCGTATCATTCGGTCGATTAATACGTCTGCAAATGTATACTGTTTAGTGATTTTAAATGTACATGAAGGACTGTGTATACAGGGTGTTCCGTAATGATATGCAAATATTTAAGGGTGTGATTGTACAAGGAAAATTTATGACAGTTTGCTTTATAAAACATGGTTCAAAAATGTTACGTTGCGAAAATGCGGGATGTAAAGATTTTAGGAAAAGAAGGAAATTAATATTTTCGAAATCGCTTAAAATATTCCAATTATATTTATTATCTACGTAGTGATAGTTAAGAAAGGCGCATGTTTTTCAATACAGACATAACTTTTAGCTCTAACAGTGGCGTGCGTACAAGCAATGACTGATATTTTTTAAGAAAAAAATGTTTTTTTTTCCCAAATAAAATTATTTTTGAAATCCCCGTTCAATTTGAAAGATAACCACTTTCCTGAGTTTTGTCCTGTTGGATAAGTCGTGACATAAATTCACTAATGGCCTGACTACCTTGTCTTGTATATACGGAAGATAGAAAACTGGACAATAATTACGTTTTTGATTTATTGCGATGGCATAAAGAGTAAAAGTCACGGCCTGGAATTGACAGCAGTGTTGCCATGCGTACAGTAATTACCCTATTTATACGATATTTTTTTACAATAATCATAAGAGGTTTTGAGATCATATTAAAGAATTCCAACTTTATTACAAATTATTTATAACCTTTAGTAAAAACTAAAAATTTCTAAAATAAAATGAGTGGTCATTCTTAAGCAAAATAATGAATTATTTTCAAATGCTTATTAAATAAAGCTTATTATTAATTAATTAATAAGGTGTTCAAACAAACCACCTGCTTGAGCTTCACAATACCCTAATCTGTTGTAAAATTCTTGACGAACATTTGACAAAGTTTCCGGAGTAACTGATCCTAAAATATTTCTAATTTTAGGCCGTAATTCGTCCAAATTTGCGGCTCTTTCATGTCGATGTTTGTAGAGAAGTTGCGTTAATGACCCCATACAAAGAAGTCGCAGGGTGTCAGATCTGGAGATCGAGGAGGCTAAGGTGTGATACCTCTTGTGGAAATAAGCCTTTCAGGAAAAGTTTGTTTCAAATAATCTTGAACTGACCTTGCATTGTGTGCAGGACATCGATCTTGATGAAACCAAATTTCCTCAAAATTTACATCCATTTTCGTACAGCTGGTTTCAACACTATTTTGTAATAAATGCAAATATCTCTCAGCATTTAAGTTACCATCAATAAAAAAGGGACCCACCTAAAATGCCAAATTTACGTTTTGAGGGTACTGCATTCTTAATGGTATACTTAAATGCTTGTTTTCCCGGGACCAATATTGGACCACTGAAGGATTATGACGGACAAGTTGGAAAAAAATGATTCGTCTGTAAATAAAATCTGCCTAGCAAATTCATTATTTTCATCTATTTTTTCCCTAATGGATTCACAAAACTCCATACGCCTTATTTGATCACCAGGAATAATTTCTTGAGAAGTTTGCATTTTATAGGCTTTGTAACCATTCTTTTTTAAGATGCAACGAACTGTACGACTTGGAATATCAAGTTACTTATTTTAAATTAACCACATAATTTAAGTAAGTGGAGTGCATAGAAGTACATAAATACAAATTCTTAACTTATCAAAAACTCAACTGCTACTGCCAACCTCTCTTTAGTAAATATTGATTTCATATTTATTTTCCTTGGTAATAAGATGACTTAGCATTCTTCAAGTCTCCATACATAATTTTAAAGTAATTAAGCAATTGGGATTTATATACAGCTTTTAGTCTAATGTAGATTTGATTGCACTGTAATTTGAGAGATTTAAGAGGGTGCAAGACAAGTATTTACCTACAGGGTGTCCAAAAGTTAATGGGGCAAAACTGTTGAATTTGGGACACCTGGTATTTATTAATCCTTCCGAATTCGTTTGGTAAAAGTGATTAAAATGGTCAAAAAGTTCCGCAATTTTGTTGATACGACGCCTATGTATGTTATATATTATAATCGAAACAGTAATCGCAACAATTTAGCGTAATTTTTAATCTAAACACTTAATACATTGTTATACAATTGCCACATAGTTGTAAAAGTTTTATATAATTTTACCAATAAATGGTTACTTGTATTTGTAACATAACAAGTTTCTGTCAAAATATTTGCCTATATACTGGGTGTCCGTTTTTGTAATTGCATACCAAGAAGATCTCAGTTATCTTATAAGATACAGATTCAAACAAATTATGATAACGTTGACGAATAACATCGAAAATAAAATCTATCTTTTTTCATTTTGATCTTATCAACGAAAAACTGAATAATTTTTAATCGTTGAGGCGTATCATTTTCGCCATATAAATTAAACAATAGACGGTAGACAAATAAATGGTCACAAATTCATACAGTTTAAAACAGTCATAATATCCTTTTATATATTCCACTCGACACCTCGCTAATTTCCTGATTACTTCCTGCATAAATTATGTGAATTGTCGGACCCATGCTGCTAAATTTTAGAATGCGATGTGTAAAACAGGTTCAAAGTACTTATATTCAAATACAGAAAACAAAATTTTTCTAATGACAAAGAAATCAATGTTTATACATTTATTTACTATTATTTGCTCGAAACAAATACATTTATAAATAAACAAGATATAACTATTTCATAAATTAAAAAAAAAAAACATTTCTGTTGATGTATAGGTGTGTAATGAAAAAATGGCATTCATATCAATTAGCAAAAATAATACAATATTTTTGGAGAATGAAAGTTTATTTATACCTAAATATCAAACGCTTAGTGGGATAAGGAAAAATAAAACACAAATTTTAATTCAATGTCATTGTCATTGCCAATGTTTCGGTGTCATTGTACACCATCTTCAGGGCTGAAAACATCATCGTGGTCTTCTAGAAGTATCTATCATGGAACACAGGCATATACATATTCTACGAGGAAGTATCTGCCGTTATTTTTGCGAATTACAAAACTAAATTGTTGTCGCCACATTGATTTATTTGATGCTCATTTGCCTTTCTTCTTTACCAATTGATTGAAAGGGATGATATGTTCCATACTTGTGAAATAAACTTTTACATTTACATTTCAAGAAATTATAAAATTATTTTTACATCTTTCGTTGAATGTTCTAAATATCACATATTTCGTCAATAATAAATCTGTCCTCTTTCAGTCAATTAACCAATTACATTCTTGCTCCTCTTGCGCACCGGATATTGCTAAGCAACAGCTTTCACTCTTAAAATATCTGGCCGCATCCGATTTAACCTGTTTATAATTAATAATTACAGTTTACATATTACATAACTATTGAACCTGAACTAAAATTATTATTATTATGCTACAGATACCACTTTAACGAACGACCTTCTTTTTTACAAATTTGTTTTTAGTTGACTGTTTAAAAACTTTTATAATAACAAAAATTATTTTGAGTAAAAAACATTTATTAGTTGATAAAATATTATGACCAGTGCGTGCATAGGTAAACCAAATTTATTTGTACCCTCAGGATGTGCAGTGGCAAAGTAGTGGGACTAAGAACTTAGTTGATTAGTGTAACGGCGGATATTGGAAAAATGATTTTAATAGGTTTTTGTAGAATTCTAATCTAATAGTTCTTATATCTTCTATATTTGCCTTTTGGAATCGTACCATAAACAAAAATTTTGATAAAATCGTGCACTTTGTAGTTTATGTTAAGTTTTACATACTATTATAATTAGTACTGGTTCATATTCCTGCAAAAGAACTGATAAACAAATTGTATTATTTCTTCTGCTAGGTAAAACAAGGTCTCCAAAAGGACTCGAACACCCAATAACATTTTAGGATTGAGTCCTCTAAATAAGGTTTCAGATAATAGTTGTAGGATATCAAGAAGCCAATATACTTATGAATTTAAATTAAAAAGGCGATTTGTAGAAAAATAAATCTGTCTGGTCGATTTTATGTATAGAAAATCAAGGTAACCAACACAAACTTGGTAAAGATAACCAAATTTTCATTTTTTTAGAATAATTGTAAAAGCAGTGAAAATGATATTCAACAGAGTTGTCGGAATTTAATGAAAGTAATGTGAGAAATATTTGAAATTATTCAATTTTCATGGCTGAAAACATACAAAGGTATTGAATTTTCGAATCCAACAGAGATGCACTAACCAAATTTGGACGGGGCATAGCTATTACAATGCGAAACATCACCTTAATGCTAAAAATATTGTCACCGCCGTTCTTGGTGGTGAAAATTCGAAATATCTGGAATTATTCAATTTTTGTGACTGAAAATATACCTACATAGGTATTGAGTATTCGAAACCGAGAGAGATGCACTAACTAAATTAAGCTCTCTCAATATTTTTTCAGATTATTTGTTTTAAATGTTAAATTATCATCTGCTTGTTGCATAAACATTAATTTCTTTTTCTATTCTACCTATACTATTTTAGATAGATTGATGACGTGGCATTTAAATTTCGAGTGTATATTTGCTGCCAATATTGTTATAAGGTCGATTTTCAAGGTAAATGCAAACAAAAATTTCGTTTTTTTTAGAGGTTATGTAGAAATGGGGTCAAAGTAGGCCGTAATTTACATTTAGATCAAGTTCAACTAGTTTGTTAAGAGATGTAAAATTAAAAAACCACTATACAAATAAATATTAAGTTCGCTTTGACCTATGAGATACAAGTATCAAGGTACAGTCCTTTCATTTTTAAGAAAAGAATAGCTCATCACGACGCTACCATTACTAAGCATTAGAAACATTTATAGACATACTTGGCCTTTTAGTGACAATATTTACAAAATCTATGTCTACAAAGTAAATTATACAATATTACCTACCTTAAAAAAACATTTGTCTTAAAAAAAGGAAACTACCTACCCTACCATACAAACTCAAAATAAAAAAATAACATTTCCTAAAACATTCTAAAGAGCTTTACTATCCTTTTTGATAGTCTCTCTCTGGACATGTAAAACATTACATGGCTGAAGTTATTGATTAATTAAAAAATTAGCCTTCGTTTAGAGTCCTTCGATGTTGATTTTACTATATTATGTACTGTCTTAGTTTTCTTCTACTCATAAACCAGATCGGATCTGTTTTGAGGTGGATGTGAGAGGGGGCAAGCAAATTTTTTTTGGATTACCTTCAGTACAACTTACATAATAAAAGTGTAGATCCCTAGATCTGGGCGAGGTCCGGAACATTTTCAAGATTACAATTTTAAAAAATACCTATTTTATCTGAATTTTTTACTTACATCTTGGAACCTATGCGTTTTGGAAGAATATTGAAGAGGAAAAAAGTTTTAGAATTGAATTTTGCACAATATACTGTAAGTTAAAAATGTTCCAATTTATTACCGATGTTCCAAAATAGCAATAATTGATGAAAAAAGGCAAAATAATCAAGTTTTTTGGATAATTTTTTAAAATATTTTGATTGCTCCGAGGGCATTCTCATTTTGGTAAAAAAAAGTTTAGGGTGTAATAAAACAACACACCAAATTTCATTAAAATCGGTTCAAGTTTTCGTAAAATAATTTTTTTAAATAAATTTCGAAAAAAAATTTCGAATTTTCAAAATGTTGCACAGCCTCAAATAAAGCATCTAGATACTTCATAATTGTTTCACATAGAAAAGACCGCTCAACCTTTCAAATGGTTTTTGAAAAACTATTTTTTCTTAATTTTATCTGTATTTAATTTCCAAAAAAAAATTGTATTTGTTTAAACAAAAATTATTTAAATAATTGTAATAATTATAACTAAATATATTCATATTCAGAGTGTTGAAATATATACGTAAACAAATTTTTTCATTGAAAAATGCAATAGCGTAGGGTAAAATATACAGTATATTTAATGCATAAATAATAAATTTTGTGTATAACAAAATATGTGCAAATTAGAGAGTTGGCATTACGATATTCGAATTCCTTGGCTCGCAAGACATCGGATTAAAAAAAAAGATCGAAATTGGTCCATTAGAAGGTGAGATAATGCAATTTTTTTCGTACCTTCGCATTTTGAACCTCCGAATTTAGTCTCGGAGCGAAACCCCCTGCCACTTTTCACGCGTGCGAGCGACAGCTTTTCCGATGATTTATCTATGTTGCCGATAACATGGATATGAAAATTTTTTCCAGCTTAGAACTCGGAAAAACGACGCCACTGGATCAAAGATTCTTGCTAAATTGTTTATAAATTAACGGTAAATGCCGATAAACTTTAGCCGCTTATATCTCGAGAACTAATAAACGGAATTTAACTTTTTTTTAAAAAATGAAGCGTCTTTCCGAGTACTTTAAAATACAATTTTTTGAATTAACTAAATTGCAAATTGATAAATGTAAACTAATTATTTAAAAATAAAAAAAGTGTTAACGTCCTAATCAACTGATTTCAATTTTTGAAAAACCATTTGAAAGGTTGAGCGGTCTTTTCTCTGTGAAAGAAGGTGCTTTATTTGAGGCTGTGCAACATTTTGAAAATTTGAAAATTTTTTTCAAAAAATTATTTTGCGAAAACTATGGAACCGATTTCAATGAAATTTTGGTGTGTTGTTTTATTATACTCTAAAGTTAGAATGCTCTCGGAGCAATTAAAATATTTTTAAAAAATTATCCAAAAAAACTTGATTATTTTCTCTTTTTTTTTCATTAATTATTTCTATTTTGCAACATCGCTAATCAATTTAAATATTTTTAACTTACAGTATATTGTGCAAAATTCAATTCTAAAAATTTTTTCCTCTTCAATATTCTTCCAAAATGAATAGGTTCCAAGATGTAAGTAAAAAACATTTGTGCAATTTTGAAAATAAAATATTCCGGACCTCGCCCAGTTTTAGGAATCTACAGTGGGATATTTCGACAGATCCGTCCTGGTCTATCGTATACGACACAAACGACACAAAAGTTTTGATTCCCTTTCTGTAAAAGGATTCTCTTTAACACATGATATATTTTTTTCTAATTCAATCGCTAGTGCCTTTATATTTTGTCTGTAGGCAAATACTACAGTGAGTATGTACTTACCGCCAATATTACAAAATAAAAATAAAATTACGTAGTTGTATGCAACATAGTAACACTGTGGGTTAAAGAGTTATTACCCGAGATTTAGGCAGACCCTGAATCTTCCTACTTAATCAAATGATCAACTGTTTACAATTCTGTACTTAGTTCAAGTTCAGTGTGATTATTTGCAAGCTGAGGAAGTGTTTTGCATGCTTTCGTCGACTTGATTGATTTATGTTGTTTTATTTCAAAACGTCTTATTCAAATCAATAATCAGCGGATATTGTATTAATTGTGTTAAAAATTGGTAAATGTAAAATGATTTGATTTGTCTCGAGTGTTTTTGACAATCTAGTGACCCTTGTTTACATTTGAAATAAGAATCAAGCAAGGAAAGCGTCATTCGGTACGATACGAGTTCATTATGTTCCTGCCTATATGGGAAAATTAGGTGGGTATTATAAGTTGAATCAATTAGAAGATGCGGCGCTAAATTTTTTTTAATAAAACCCAAATGCCAACTTTGTTTATAATTGTCTCAATCGTAAAACATTTTTAAATTGAAAAAGGAACTGAATATGACTAATAACGAACATGAAGCAAACACAGGTCTTAGTAGCCTACTACCTACGTTACTTTACCTTAAAAGTCCGTCTGCCTGAAAAACAAAAATGGAAAGTGCATCACGTTCACAATAATAATTATTAACCACGACCACAGCCACATAGCCATCGTCAGCGCGCAACTTTGTGTCCTACACAGCGCCAGCGGTAACACAATTTAAACACACTTGTTACTTGCCATCGGCCGCAGCTCGTCGCAACTCAGATCAAACGACTCCAAATGTGTTCATAAAAACCAGACACTGGGTTTAATTTGTGCCACTTGTGCCTAAATTACTACATCATAGTGCCCTGTGATGTGCCATATAAGATAATCGCCACACTTTTGGATTATATTCTCTTAACACCACACCGAAAAGTGAGTACCTGCTCTTCTCTATCGGGGAGTTATTTGTCATTACATGTAATTACATCAATTTTACAATGTGTTGTGACGTCATGCCTTATTTAATGAAATAAGCCTGGCCCTAGTGCTGATCTAATAAATTATAGAAACCGTATCAGTTCAAATCCGGTCGGACGACTCCATTATCTCCCTCTGAATTTCGAGATTCCCTCTTTCAGCATACATGTCAAGTTTCCTGATGGGAACTGTCTGATGTTTTGACCTTCCGTCGATTACGTTTTTAACAAATTCCTAAATACAGTGACTAATCGCTCAGAAATGAAAAGCTAGTAGGCTGCGACCAATAAGGTACCATTTTCTAAAAACGCAAGGTAAAATCACACCCATAGATGCTATTTAGTGGATTTTAGTCTCACTTTTATTGTAACTGCGTAGTTGATGCGGTGTAACAACAATAAAGCCAAAAAATAATTGCTTTTACCTGATAGACCAAAATGTAGTACTAAATACGGTCTATGTATGCAAATATTTCTAATAGCGGTAGGAACTAAAAGATTTTTTCTAGGTTATTTTATTGCTGCCTTCATATGTAAAATTAATGTCCAAATTGCCTTTGTTAAAAAAATGGTTTATTTCTTTAAATCGTACAATATTATTTATTAAGAGAGGCACCATATTCCTTTTTTCTTACTTGAAATTGTAAAGCGTATACAATTTTTTTAAATTTTTATATAACAATATACAACAAAAGAAACAAAAATATATGACTGAATTTTTCTAAAAGTTCAAGACCACCACCGCAGTGCCTAGGATACTACGTAGGGTATGTATTTTAAGTAAATGTTTCTTCAAGAAATTTGGAATATATATCTCAAATTTGTGTCATTTTAATGCAGTACATATGTACTTCTTTCCTATAATGAGTATATATAGCACTTTCCGTACTGATTTTTGTCTGATACACTATACTGCTCAATTATCTTAAAATATTGATATCGATTTTACTCAAAATATGTAGATGACCTCTTTTTAATGAAAAAATAACTCGTACTTATTTAATAATTCAGTATCTCCAAGTTAGTTACTGCAGTTTTTAGTCGAATTCAGTAGTAGTTTTGCCTTGAATAAAAATTCAAAAGTAAATTTACTTTCATAATTGGTTTCCTACGATTTGCTAACTACTCAAACAAACAGATTTGTTGTATTATACTATTTGAATTATATTGGATTCATAATACGTTTAAATTTATAAGAGTAAATTTTATTACATATACAAGATGTTTGTAAAATATGATGCCAAACTGAAAGAAGAGATATAAAATCAAACTGAACAAAAAATTTCCTACGAACATGAGTCTATAAACGCCTATTAAAAAAGTTACAGTGTGGTAAAATTAATTTTCTTTTAATACCTTCAAAATAGTTAATATACATATAATTATTTATATGTATTACTTATTACAATAATCTTTTGTGGAAGGTAGATTTTTTTTAAATTATTGTTCGAGATCTTTAAGGACCTAGTAGTATCTCGTAGATAGAAATAAAATTTTTTAGGAACTTTGACGAAATAGATTTCGAACAACAAAAGTGCTGTGGATTGTTTTGTAACTTTGCTAAGACATTAAGTATTGATAAAAATTAAAATAAGAGAAAAAAATGATAAGATCATTGGTGCTAAAATATTTTCTTTCCCATAAGCAGCTAGGTAATTTGAATGCAATTCATGGTACATCATACTGCAGAAAATATTCACGTATTGCTAATTTTCTCGAACATTTACATGTTTGTAATATAAAAAACCCTCAATTTCCCTCTGCATTTCCGCCACTGTGAATGAGGAAAAAACTATTCCTCCATATTTCCAGTAATCTAAAAAATGTGTTTCTGATGATGCACTTTTATCACCCTATAACTGTTTTACTACAAACTTTCGGACCACAGATAGGAACTTTTTCCTTAAACTGACATATCCTATTTCAGTTTGGTACAGTTTAGAATCACCTTTTATAATACATTTTTAATGATTTCACATGAAACTTATCTGTTAGTGTACTATTTATTTAACTAGTCTCCGTTAACGTATTGTTTCAATGTTTTGACCTTCTCCTGATCGCAATGAAATTTAAACATGCAACTAAAGTGCCTCATCATTCCAATACGGTATCGTTTTTGTTTGTCCCAAAACTTGATGAGCTGTAGCAAGAAATTCTGAAAAAATTAACAGTAAAATGGGATTTTTGTACTTCTAGTAACAAACAAATTATATTTAGGTTTTATTTAAAAATGAAGCAAAGAGATACTTGTCCAGATTAATTTAATCTTTTTTATGTTATAAAAAAAAACACAGGTTTTCAATTTAACATCCTGTAATTCGGATTATTTTTAAGTTATGTAGTCAGTTATTCTATAGTTATAGTTATAGTTACAGTGAGTTAAGTTATATATTACCATTAAAAAGAGTTGTTTAACATTTCTTGTAGGCCTTGTACAAAACAGAGCTACAGAATTACATAATATCAGACAACCAAAAATAACACCTATTGCAAATGAAGAAGCTAATTATTAACAAAGAGGTTAATTAAATTAATTTAAATTATCTAAAAATATTAGTAAGCTAGCTCAAAAATAACATCACAATTTACAAATCTTATATATGTAGTAGATTTTTAATCATTTATTTCCTTAAGGCAAAACAGCACTTTAAAGAAAATATGAAAATTTCAATTCTTGGTGATTAACACATGTATCATTATTTTTAAATGCATTTTACACAAAAATGGAACATTCTACCAATTTGAACCAAGAGTACCGTTTTTACTAAAAAGCTCTGAAATTTCATACTTTTCAGTCAAAAGTAAAAAAAGTCAAAGCATAAAAAAGTTATGGTAAATTTGTAAATTTTGTTTTAGTAACGGACCGAGTATGCGTAAGAGTTTAAGCTAATTACCAAATTTCATAAATTTATCTCAACTGGTTTCAGAATTATTTAGATAAAAACATCATCAGAGCGGCCCCTTTAAGTGACTATAACTTCCTTATGAAGGATTTTTTATATAAAGATAAAGTAATGTTTTTCGACATAGAACACTCTCTAGAAATATTGCCCCTAATTTCGGGACACCCTGTATATTAATAACTTTACCACTCGTAACATAAAAAGTTAACTTTCCATTTGTTTTATCAATAAAGGTACAATTTATAATATAGTTATTTGTTGCATCTAAACAATTAAAGTTTGATGATACTTTATATTTTGCACGATATATCTTAAAAAGGATTAAACATAATATTTTGTTGTTTATCGTATAAGGCTTAAAAATAATACGGGTATTTTCGGTTCTATGTATCAATGAATCTTACAGAAAGATGATAATATAGTCTACTCTAAATTTCATACATTTATAATATAAAATAGGTAATTAAATTATTAAAACTAAATATATGTTAGGAACTTGAAAACAGCTTAGCTTGCTTTTTCGTTATTCTTTGTAAAATAGCAGTGATATAAGCAGTTATATATTGAACTCATTCTAATGTTACTTAAAATAGATATCATTTTATTTATCCTTATCAGTTGATTATTGGATAACCCAGAACAAATATTCAAGCAAATCCATTTTAATTATATTTTTTCCTATATGGCCAAAATATTTCAATATTTCTTTCTATTTTTAATCATATTATGACTTATCAAGGAAAAATAACCACATTCCATTTAAACTTTATGAGTAAACTAGTATAAACAGTGACTGTTTAATTAAACAAATTAGTAACTTTTACTAGTAACTAGTAAATATTGACTATAATTTTATTAATAAAGTACTTTTTGTTTTAAAGAATCAAATACTTATTATACATAATTTATATTATATATATATTATACTTAAAAGAGAGAAAAGTTGCACCAATACTGGAATATTTTTAATACGTAGGTATTCAGCCAAATAATGAAACTTTAAAATTAAAATAATCGGAATATTTTTATTGACCTCAGAAGACGAGTTCACAATGTTTTTTAATGACGGGAATATTTGATTTTTATGTCCATTCAGGATGTAAAATATTGTTTATAGAATCGATATAACATTTTAACAGTTTTCAAAATAATATTCACCTTCTTATAAATGATTTGACTGAAAATAACCTTCGCTCAAAGGAACTAGACAAGAGATCGCTTTTACAAACATATTTTTGCCTAATCAAAAACATATTTTTTTTCTTTTATTAATTTTCGTTTTCAAGAGACTTAATATTTAATTTATTTTTCTTCTTTTTAGTATGATAAAAACCCCAATGAAATAATGTCACAAATACACAAATAAATAATTAACAGATAACATACTGCAAACTAAATAAAAAATAGGTGTCCATTCTTTATTATTCTTAATACGTTTATAGGAAATTGAATTTTATAGGGAACCGCGGTCTAACTAACAAAAATATGTATTTTTTTATATTCAAGATAGAGTGTCAAGTTATAGCTCTCATCACATATCGAAATCTTTCCTATAAAGTACCCAACCGTACCTATAGGTATCTATATCAACTATTGGCTATTGAGTAAGTGACACACAGATTTAAATGACATATAAAGATATTTGAAAAATGCAGTCTGGAAGTCTGGCCTTTAACTTATAAAATACATATAAGACATATTTAGATTATCAATATACAGGGTTTCCCAGAATAACGTATACAACGTAGATGGCCTCAAACTTCGTGAAAATTTTTTGAATTTTGTAAATAACTCGAATACGTATTATTCAATTGACGTTTACAAACCATAAACATTATGTGCTACTTGCTTTAATTTCTTATATTCCAAATGACCTAATGATTCTCGTTTAACATTAATGTTACCGACATTATATGGGACCTCAGTAAAATACCTAATCAACGAACGGACTTATTTCATTTGCTATCACTTCCAGAATATTATTGACATTGCATTCTACAATATTAGTAGATATAAAGGCGGTTAGTTCTTTAATTCTTATGCAATTAGTAGA